ATATACATACACATACACATGCATATATATATATATATGTGTGTGTGTGTGTGTGTGTGTGTGTGTGTGTGTGTATATGTGCGTGTGTGTGTGCGTGTGTGTATACATATACATATATATATATATATATGTGCATGTGTGTGTATACATACATATATGTATATACATACATACATACATATTATAATACACACACACACACACACACACACACACACACACACACACACACATATATATATATATAATTCTTACATGGAAGTTTGAGTTTGTGTTCAGAGAGTAGTGGAGCAAGACTTGGTGCATGAAGAATTTAATAAGTGAGTTATCACAGTACAAGCTAAAAATCATTGAAGCTAGTTAAATTCAAGCTGATGATTGCAAGTGATATTCTGGAGTATGGTACCATCAAGATCTGAAGAAATAATCTACTAAAACTTTTAACATAAGAGTTAAAATATTAGTAATTTTTTTCACATAATGCTCTTTAGCCAATGCTTGTTAGTTTTAGCTGAAACTAGTTTCTCCTTAGCCAATGCTGGTTATTTTTTGCTGAAACTAGTTGGTTTCAACAGAATTTTACAAGAACCAAATGAATCTGGATGGACATGACATCCAGGTGAAGCATTGATTCATTGTGAGGAGAACTGTTGAGCATATTGGCTGAAAGTCATAATTCTGTTTGAACTTGGCAGTGAGGTCATAATATCTGGATTGAGTTAAATGAATTTTTTATCAATGATGATTATCCACATGGTGTATGCATAATGAAAGTTTATTGTTTAGTTTTAGTCTTAAGTCAAATTTCATCACTATTGCTCCTGCTAAACAGCCACTTGCAGATGCAGTTCATTACAAAAACCATGAAGTGATCAAGCTTTTTGAGAAGCATGGTGCCAAGCTACGGGTACATCATTGAAGACCTATTAGTCTTTCCAGTTTGATGAGAAGGTAGTTATCTTTTCTTTTAATAAATTATTGTGGCATTAGTTCTTGTTGTTTTGTATCTTCTGCAGGTGACTCCTATGCGTGTTGAGAATGCCCGTGAAGTCCCTGAATATGAGATTGATCCCAGCGAACTTGATTTCACTAACAGTGTTAACATAACTAAGGTACATTTTCTCATGTTCATCTGCAACTATGATAACATATGTCCTTAACTGTAACTTTGTGTTGTTTTCCTTTTCTTATGTTCAATCAGTCAGTGCATGGTAGTAACATGTTTAGCATTAATCTCTGTTATTTGGCTTTTAACTTTCTGTCCTTAATCAGAATAGTTTTTCCAATTATTTAACACTGTATACTTCTTCTATGTTTTAGTATTGGCATTTGAATGAAGATATTTACAAATTGTTGAAAGCTAAATAAATAATAATAATGCCAATTGGAGCTCAAAATCCAACTGCTTAAGTTGTTGACTGCATGAATATCTTTTCTGCTTTGATCTCTGCTTATGCTCAATCAACCTATTAAGGGTTGTCATGTCTCTTTCTTCTGCCTTCATTGACTTTCCAAGTTTTCTTAAGCTTCAATCTTCCTTGTGGCTCCTCCCACATGTAATAATTCCCTGGACTCGTTGTTGGTGCATTTCATGATCTCCTTTGTGTATGTGAAAGCAACCTTAGTAGTCCCTAGTTTATCCTAATACTTGCACCCTCCAAGTTATTTGTTCTATCATATAGCACTGTATCTCATATGATAGATAAACTTTGTTTATATTCTGTTCATGGAAACGTTCACATGTATCTAGTTGTGTGCTGGTCAAAGCAGGTCAAGTTTTATTGTACGTAGAGCTGCACCTGTAGATGCACTAGTTAAACAAGGTGAGTCAATTAGGATTATTGATGTGCAGAGAGAGAAATATCTAAGAGAAATTCATTAGAAATGATGGCTCCTAGTTTGACTAGTGGTTAATGCTGATAGAAGATTTATGTAGCTGACTTAAATAGTTGGGAGCTTATGACTTCTTTCATTGCTGTTTTAACGTCGTATGACCACTGTGATTCTGCAATCTAGGGATTTTCGCTTCATTTACATTCAAGCTTCTCTGAAATAACTAAAATAGCTCCTATTAAATGACTTTCAGCTCTGCAGAAATTTGTCTTTGTAATTGACATTATATTAATGATTTAAACTTATCCTGTTTTTTCTGAAGTTGAAAGTTGATGTAACTTTTCCTGTTAATACAACTTATTACCTCCCCTTTTTTTACCAATGTCATCTTTTAGGGAACATTTATTATAGCAAAATGGCGAGGAATTCAAGTCGCTGTGAAGAAGTTCAGTGATGATGTCATGACTGATGAGGATAAATTGTGGGTTGGTCCTATTTTTTTTCTGCATATTTTTATGTTTGCAAATTATAATGTCTACTTGATGTACCTGTTGCAGTCAGGTTTTGTTTCATTTATTTGTTGGTTAGGATTTCTTTATATTTTTCAGAAGGGCATTCAGGGATGAGCTTGCATTGCTTCAGCAAATACGGCATCCAAATGTTGTCCAGTTTCTGGGTGCTGTTACTCAAAGTAGTCCAATGATGATTGTCACAGAATATTTGCGCAAGGTTGTTACTCTAAGTGTGAAATCCTCAGCTTGGTAGCTAAATGGATTCTAGCTGGCTATATAAACCTGGTTGCTCAATATTTTCTTACTTTCTTGTTCTTCCATTTTCATGAAAGTCGCATGAGAGCAATGACCAAATTGGCTGCTCAATTATCTCCTCATGCTGAGTGATTCCTTTGAAATGCATACATTGTTAGTATGTCAAGTTTGAAGTATGAACCTAGCTTTTGTATTTCATGTACATATAGGAGTTGGAGGGATGGGAAAGGGAGAAAGAGACTGGGGAAAAGACAAGAAAACAGAGACTATCATGCATTAAGATGAAAATGAAAGCTATCCTGACATGCATCAGTGAACTTTGTCTCAATTTCACATGTATGCTAGGTAACTATCAATGATCCTCTACATGAGAAGCGTGACCTTGTTTGACCCCAAGTATTGACATGTCTATATTAAGAAGGGTCTACTTTCATGTTGTTCACCAGAATAGATGAGTGCATGTTGCCAACGTATCAGTTCAGTGAACGATTTCTTTGCAAACCACCTATTTGCTTTTCCAGTGATTGGTTACCTTTTCTTTTACAGACAGAAAACTTTTTTTGCTTGAGTGAAGATGTCATTCAGATCATTAGTTCTCATTCATATGCAGGGTGATCTACGGGCCTATCTGAATCGGAAACGAACTCTAAGGCCATCCTCAGCAGTGCTATTTGCGCTTGATATTGCTAGGTTGGTTCACTTTTTATTTGCTTATTATTGTATTATTTGTGTGTATTTTTGAGGAATGCCAATGGAAATTCAAATTCTTTAATGGTTATTTCTTACCATAATTCAAATTTTTATCTTCAGTTAATTGAGCATAAACTAATATTTTTTAAACAAATATATTAGAGGGATGAATTATTTACACGAGCATAAACCTGAAGCCATAATTCACCGTGATCTTGAGCCTTCGTAAGTGTCCAGATACTTATCATTTGCTCTCTGATCTGAATTGTGTGTTTATCTTATTATTTGCCTGACAGCCTCTATTGTCTAAACATTTTTGCTTCAGAAATATCTTGCGAGATGATTCTGGGCATCTGAAAGTTGCAGATTTTGGAGTTAGCAAGTTGTTAAAAGTGGCAAAGACTGTAAAAGAGGAAAGACCATTGACATGTCTTGACACTGCATGTGAGTGTGGCAATATTCTCTTATGCTTTTTTTATTTTATTCAGACAATAGTTAATTTTCCGTTAGGCTACTGGCTCTGGATCTTTGTGATCCTATATCTTGCTAGACTTTGATCTTCTCTTTGAACATGAAAAATATGGCTTCGTCAAAGTTTAGTTAATATCCACCGACATATGAGATCTTCTATATGCCTATCTAATAAAGCATGCTACAAAACAGAATACAAGCATATTGACTGTTGAGTCTAGTTTGTTAATCAAGCATTAACAGTTAGTTGGGATTGTGGAGAAAAGATTTAGCTACTTTTTGCTGACATTTTTGGTGCCTGTTCATGTTTTGTGTCGCCACTCACTAAAGAATTCCAGTATATCATGATTTGGTTGTATCATTCTTATTATTTTATGGTTTCACTATATACAGGCAGGTATGTGGCACCAGAAGTCTTCCTCAATGAGGAGTATGATACAAAAGTGGATGTCTTTTCATTTGCTTTGATCCTGCAAGAGGTAAAGGATTTGCTTTCATTTAATTTCAAGAACTTATTTTAGTCACGGATTTGAACGTGAATCTGTTGCGAGAAATAAGCTACTGCACCAACAAATGTTTAGGATCTATCCTTTTTGTCTGTCTTTTTTTATATGCATGAGGTGTATTGTGATTGAACTTTGACAATTGTGACAGGTTCGGCTACATGACTTTCTAGTTTAGTAGTAGTAGTTTGAAGCATGGTCTGCAGTACCGAACTGTATCATCCGGTATGGGCGGTACGTACCGGTCCGACAGGTTGCCGGTACGCGGAACGTCTGTTACCGGTCTGAGTGCACTGTAGCACTGTAGCAATGCTACAGTACTCGGCATACCTGAGTATACCGCTCGGTACACCTGGGTGTACCGCTCGGTATACCGTACCGTACCGGTACCGAGCCCAGGTCAAAATATCGGTACGGTACGGTATTACGAACCTTGGTTTGAAGTACGCTAAATTTCAGTTATAGTACTTTTGCTTTCTTGTCCTTTTTTACTCTTTGTTTATCTCATCTCATGGAGATATACTTTCTTATTTACTATTAACACAAGTTAGTCTGATACTTGATTGACCATGAAGGATCCTTGTGAAGCTTGAGAAACTAAGAGCTTGTTGTTATTGTAATAAATGTTCTTTTGGCTTTAGACTCTAAGCTTCCTTTAAATTGTTAAGTACCATATTACTGCTTCTTCCCCTTACATTTGTTATGCACCAATTTGACATTTAATACTCATGCCAACTTAAAATCGAGTGGAGGTGCGGAACTAAGTTTTCTAGTTGAAATTGGCTATCTAAGCTATCTTTGAGACTCGATACACCTAAATAATTTAATGTATACTGAGATTATTTCTGTGTAATTGTGATAAAATTGTACTTGGGTATATGATTATTATGGATATATTTTATCTTACTAGTCACTTGTGGCTAAGGCCAATGCATTGTCATATTGCATTAACATTTTCAACCCTTTATCATTTCTCTAGATGATTGAAGGATGCCCACCTTTTTCCTATAAACAAGATAATGAAGTTCCAAAAGCATATGTGTCTAAACAGAGACCACCTTTTAGGGCTCCACCAAAACAGTATGGTCATGGATTAAAAGAGTAAGTTTTGTTCTTACTTTGATATTCTTTAGTTGGTCTAATTTATTATTTTCATTATTATATTGTTTTTTTGGGCACAACCAGCAATGCTTTATTGTTTAGATTTGATGATGCTGATTAGCTTTGTTCTTTGTTTTGCTTTTGGATGGTAAAACCAATTAACATGCACATTTAACACTTAGGCTTGCTATGTGATAAGTTATTGTATCCCTCGAAGAATGGATTTCCCACTTTGATGTGCAAATGCATGATCTACATGAAGCAGCATTTACATCATAAACTAATTTGTGTTAGCTTCATTGATCTCATTTTATCTGTTAGGAGTACAATATTCTCAGATAATACAATTGTAGTATCAGTTGCACACCATATTTTATCTTGTATTTCAACAGTTATTTGCTAGTGTTTGCTCAAGCCTGATAACACTCATTAGTTTTATTCAATCATAAACAAATACATTTTTTTGTTGCTAGGGAATCTCATTTGAAATATCCTTCTCTTTACTATCAACTTAAGTTGACTTCTATTAGCGAATGTGTTTTGACCACTAGAGTTTGAGGCTATAGAATCAGGTATTTTGATTAATCAGTAACGATGATCATAAGATATGTTTTACTACGGACATTATTTATCTCAAATCAAAGAATAAGGAATTGTGGAGAATCTTCGTTCCCCTAATTTTTTTCTTCTTTTCATTTTCTTTGGCAAGTTGCCTTGGAGTGGTAATAAATTCAGAAAAGAGATATATACTCAGGGATCTTTTGGATGAATGGGGACAAATATAATCGGCTTTTCAATGGTATGACACAAGAGCCAGGTGGGTTTTGCATGATGAGAGGGAGGTCATGTGATAGGTGTGATACGTACTACCAGAGTATCAATCAACCTTCCCATTGTTATACCATTTTTGTTTGTCATTTTTTACTTTCAGTTGCCATAACCCACCTAGTACCTTCACCTATATATTGCCATTTGTTTCTCTTTCTCTAGTCATTTTTTGTCTTTAAATATAGAAAGATTTACTCTCGTTTCTTTATGTGTTGTAAAATCTAAGACACGTCATTTTTATTAAGTTTTTGCCTAGTCCAATTTTAATTTCATGAACTCTAAACTAAGGCCTGTCGACCAAAGCTCTATTCAACTATAAAATTGATTTCAGCTATGGTAGCAATTTTAAATATTAAACTAAAAATTTAATTACTACCAGTACCGTGGTCCATTGTGATTTTTTGGCCTGAATGAAACTAAGTCTTGAGGCTAGTTGCATCAGTTTGATGAATGTCCTCGATGGTACACTTAAGTTCCTTAGAGAAAAATGTGATACTAAGCTTTGGGAAACTTTTTGGGCTTCAGTGTTTCTCAATAGGAGCTCCGAAAATTTTTGAACGAGTAGCTACAATTTAGCATTTATTGTAATAAATTTTGGGATCTTTTGCTAAGAATATCTTTTATGTATATCAAGGGGCAAAATATGAAGAAAGATGCATCTTTGTTGTTTGATGATTCCATTGTCTTGGTAAATTTCAGATGTTGTTATAAAAGATTTTAAGGAGAAAATTCCACATATTTGTTTCAAAACAAGAATTTGTAGGATTCATGTGATCATTTGGAGTCTGGATGATATTATGCAATGAGCAAATTTAACACAGAAAACAATAATGTGGAATCAATAAGTCATGCAATATATGCTTTATGTAGGGGCCTAATCCATGAGAATTTCCTGTTTTCCTCTTCTTGTAAACCTTTCAGCACTTTTTCCCACCATCCCGTTTGTCGTTATTCCAGCCACAACATGCTCTAGTTCATATGATTGTTTGTCACAGAGGTGAGGTTACTTGATAAAATAAAAAACAACATATAGACATTAAGTAAGCAAAATATGTATATCTTGAACCGTATCCAAAAAAAGTTTGCATATTTCCCAAATAGTTGGAACATTACAATTTGTTGTTGTTGCAATTGTTGTTATAACCTCTATGACGAACAAGGGTTGCTCTGCCAAATCTTTGATTTTCATGGTTGTAATAATGTAGTTGGCGTTTTTTGTTAAATAACTTATCTGGTTTGATTCATTTTCTATGTTTCTGAATACCACTGTCCTAGATCTTGGTGTTGATTATGCCTCTAATTAATGCCAACAAAGAAGACTCCATGCTTGTCCAGAATTAGTTTCTTATTGTTGTTGCTTTTGTTATCACAGAAGATTGACTGGATCTGATACATCATCTTTCCCCCTTATAGGTTGATTGAGCATTGCTGGAGTGAAAATCCTGCTGACAGGCCAACATTTAGAGAAATAATTGATCGGTTGTCAAAAATTCAAAACCATATTGCTCAAAAACGCCGTTGGAAGGTAAGTTTGTTCAATTTCTACCTCGGGTTGTAGCTTTTTTCCTTGTAATTGGCTTTCCGTGTTTTCTGGAACTAGTATTTTCTATATACTCTTGCTACATAGTTCAGAAAGTACAAAAAAACAATTACTATTTTCTGTTACTCCTTCAGAATTGTGCTACTGATTAGCTGAGTTTTCAAAATACCAGGAGAATTTAGATCCGTCCTATCTAAATCATTTTTTGGTGAAAGTTTGATTCAATTTCCACCTATGTATGCACATAGTGCAGATGGTCATCTTTAGGAAGTACAAATGCATAACATTGTGGATTCCTACTACCTCTGAATTGCTGGAGGGAAGCAAATTTTAAAAAATTAATCACATTTTTATCAGAACATTATGAAGCTTAAAAATCGATGTCGACTTAAAGTTCCATGCGGTAAAAAGATTATACTTTTAGTTCTTGTGATGCAAGAGCATTCAGTTGTACTAGTCTTAATTCTTCAGTGGCGCATGTACCCATACTTGATTTCTTGCAAATACTGGAACCACGAACATATAGATATACTGCAGAGAACATAATCATAAACTCAACAGTAAACCATAATGTCAATTATTCGTGATCGACTGCATAAATCTTTTTATACCACTGAGTTCTGTTTTTGGGTAGTATCAATTGTCAAATTAAAAGCTGTTGAATCTCCTATTATTGTTTCTAATGAAATTTTCTTAAGCTTCCTTCTTTTATCATCATACTACTAATTTTAAATAACTCTATCCTGTTTCTTCAGAAGCATCTGTAGGTCTTCTTTGGGCATGATTATTTTCTTAAATGGTTTTTTCTTGTTTTATCTTCTATTTGAGTAATTGCAATTGTTGATGGATGTAAATGTTTCTCACCCTGTCCTTTCTGGTAACCTAAAAAATCCATCTTACCACAACGTTTATGATATAATCAAACTGTAATATAATAATCGACATGACATAGTGCAGTGGACAAAATTGTTTTAGGTGTACATAAAAACATTACAAAGTTTCTTACTCTTACACCTTTTTCAGTTTTCATAGGGAAATACTTTTTAAGTGTGCTAAAAATTGAAAAATAAATTGGAGATGTAAGTGACCAATTTGGTTTGTGAGTATTTATTTTGATCATTGTATTCTTATTTTGACTGCCCCTGTTTCAACAGAGAACCTCATGCAACTTAATTTGGCTGCATCAAAATTACTTTGGTTTTCAGTAGCTGCACCACATACTTTCTCTGGCAGTTATGAACTTAAAAAGTACTGGTTTTGTCACTTTCTTGTTGCATTGCCAGGTGACGCCATTAAAATGTTTCCAGAATTTTGAGGCCATATGGAAGAAAGACGGCGGTAGCACCCGCTCATCCCGTTCATCCACCACAAACTTGTAACTTCTATCGGATGTTCCAAATAAGAGTAAGATACCAAGATGCTAGTTCGGTTTGGTGTAATCTACTGTTAAATGACATACAATGTTATACAACCGCATGGCCCTTTGCCAAACTAATGTAATATGTCTTTTTCATGGTTGATTTTTTGGTGCTTACAGGAATCATCTAATCACTTTTTGTTTTTGCTGAGATCATCTCATAACTCGTAGCTTTGGATTGTCTGGTGATAGGTAAAATGTATCATTGCAATTGTGTTGGGGCCTTCATTCGTGATAACACATACCTTGCCATGTGACAATGATCATTTTATTCTTTGTCCGCATGCATGCGTATATAAGGATGATATGTGACTTTTGATTCTCGTATTGACCCATGTATAATCTCTTGGAACATATGGAGTGGCTGAAATCCATCATGGTTTGTATCGCTGTTACTCTCTGATTGAAAATTTTCATAGCAAGTTGACTAAGGATGCTTGATCTTTATGTTTAAAGCAAGTAGAAATCGTCTTCGATGTATGGCTGGAATGCTGTCTCCAGCAATCATATGTATGGCAGGAGAAACAGTTCCAAGGAAAACAAAAGGCACGGATTATGAGCCTTATTTGGGGTTTCATATTAGTTCCACGCACTTAGTAGGCTACGGTACAGATGGGGTTGGGGGGAGGGGGAACACCGACGGCTCCTTGACGCCGATGCGACATCAGACTCGAGCAAGGCGACGGATATCCATGGGGTAGGCGTCACTAGGAGACCGCGCGCTGTAAGATCTTTTGCCAATGATGATGTTTGCAGCTTCGGTTGGATGGAACGCGTCGAAGAAGAGGTACTCATCCCTGTTCGGACACGGGGCTTGGTAAGGCAGACATGTAATCTGGCCATTGTTCCTCCCCACCCCACAGCATCCCCTGTTCGTCACGCTCAACCCTGAAGCACACAGACCCACGACGTGATGCAATCAACAACAACGTATCGTAAGTGTTTGATGAAATGACGATGAAGGCAGGCGACCGATGTTCCTCACCGTTGGCTGCCGGGTTCCGCAAGATATCTTCGAATATGCCGTAGCCATTGATGTAAATGAAGTGCGCTCCGTCCAAGGCGTTGAACTCATCCACCAGATCGATCAGCTTCGCGTTAAAGATTCTGATCGCGCTGTCGATCTCCTCGACGCAGGCGACGCCGTTGGGGCTCCGTTGAGCCAACTCGTTCGGGCTGCACCCCACCTGTCCCACTCCTATCAACACCACCTTCCTCGCTCCGTAGTTGTACAGAGTCTAAAGCACATGAGAACGAGCCACTAACTCATCGGTATCATGTCGAGATCTGCCATTGATGCTGCCATAGTTGAACCGGAAAAGAAAGACTAACCCTGAGCTGCTGCGAATACTGTTGGATCAGCTCGTCGGCGTACTGTTCCGGGGTGTACCGTTGACCGGTCGAGTAGAACGCCGGCATGAAGTAGTTGTTGAGGTAGTCGTTGCTCCCCAAGCCGACGGAGAATATGCATTTGCTGAGGTAATTAGCTGCAGAGTCCTCATCTCCCAGTATTCTGACCATCTCCTGCACCGCCGATTGATAGTTCCGCAGTTGTCCCCCGAAAGGAATCCTCCCACCCTGCAAGCCCAAGCCTAGACAAGTTAGTTCTCTTCTCCATGTAGATCTCTAGGTGTCAAGCAACCTTTCAGAGAAGGCGTACCAGTTGTTGGCCGGTTTCGTCCCTTATTCCGGCGGCCGCGGAGGCGAAGTTTACACCGGTGAGAAGCGCTTGCCCTCTCGTGCTTGCGTAAGGTGGGACGAAATCGTCGAAACCCAGCAGTTGAGCTGCACAAATCAATCACAACTTTAGCCTCCAATTCCCAGTCATCCATCTGTTCATGGTGTTAGAACATTACATACTTTTACCTAATATCGAAGCAGAGCATTCCTAACTGGTTCTAAAGTTGCTACTCTTCCCCAAGCGGATAGGATCACCAGAAGGAAAGCAAACCTAAAATAGTGATCACGTGAAGATAATAAATGGAGTTAGGAGCACCCGATCCGATGACCGAGTATACTCATATCCTGCATTTACTGTTCTGAGCCTCGCAGTCGAAGCCGATTCATCCCTATGCTCTGTTCAAGTACGTGACTGCGGCCTGCCACCAGACGCAGAACGTACCACATCCTGGCTTGCTTAATATGGTAGAGCACCAGAACATGGAATTTGTCACAGACAAACTATTAATTGGCTGCAGCATAAAAGATATAGCTCAGACCACGAGGCTCCCACCACTGCAAGCTTAATGGCATAGCATGGACGCCGCCGCCCGATTCACGTGTTCCGGACTCGGTGCGGTGACTCGTGTGTGCCGTCCACTAAACTACCTATGCTTTCTGGTTTGGATAGAATGATCAAGATGACATGTTTCATTAAGGTTTAGAAGCGATCGATGGCGAGCAAGAATTCTACCATTCTCCTGCACGAACAATGATGGCGAATGGGGTACGATATCTTCTCGATGTAGAGAAGTATCAGTTGTCATTATGGCAGACACTGTTGCAGCATTACTTGAGCGACGAAGAACAGAAGCGGAAAACTATACTTGGCATACGTAGAACGCCATACCAATAACGTCCACGGTGGTCAAGCCATTGGTGAACCTCCCGCTCGGGCCGCTGGGGAAGTCGATGCCGTACGGCGGGTAATTGGCGACGGCCAACGACGCGATGTTGTTGTTGTTGCCGTTGTCGACGAGCGAGTCACCGAAGATGAAGTAGCACGGGACTTGCGGCTCCGGTCGCACCGACACGAACGCCGCCCAGAGCAGCAGCCACCGCGCGCCCAGCATCGTCCTTCTCAGCTCAACGTGAGCCATGAAGCAGGAATAGGAGGCGATGGGGAGGTGGGAAGTAAAAGGCCACATGGAGGGAGATATATAAGGGAAGCAAGGAAGGAGACAAGGATTAGGGTATCGGTTGGGAGAGTAGGGTTGGTCCAGTGCATTAAAGCCCTCGCGAGCTTAACGTGGACGCAGAGGCGAGCACAGTCTCCTGCAACCTTCCTCAGAAATAATAGCTTACATGTATGAGATTATGATCACCTAATTAAGTCTTTAAAATGACATCAAATGCTAGTGAAGTCTAAATCGATCTCTTTAATAATCAATTGAGATCAATAGTTCAATGCCGACAGATTAGGTTTTATCATCAAATGGTGCATGGCCAACAAAGTCGAGAGTACAGACTTCATGCAAACATAGGCAGAAGTACTATATATGCACCAACCGTGAGCTCATGTTCGATCTGTATATGATCTGCTGTCCTAACTTGAGCAGTACCAAGTAAATGGCCTGCTGTATGCAGCTGAAGTAGTACTAATGGTCATAAACGTCAGCTAATAATGCAAGAGAGACATGTACACCATCTACATTTACCGGCTCATTCACTGAGCCTTCCAAGTTGTGACAGAGAACATTAGAAACCATGTGTGGAGTAGGTTGTCTGCTTCTTGTGGAACTAAGAGACAAAAATGATGGGCAGAGGAAGAAGAAAGAAACTCTATATCTATCAACGAAGACCAATAATTTTCGCTCTTATTTGGATTTCATTCATGCCTCAATCTTGAGGTCAAAGGATTCATTTCACGCTGTGATTCCACAGCTTGTTGGGTTGGATATCCGCGTGACACTTGCATCATAATGTGGGCGACTTGAATCGAGGCAATAAATTAGGCTGTGGAGCACTTCATCTAATCCTTGCCTTCCAATTCAATGGTGGTAACAGCAAGTGGGAGTGATGAGTCCCCACACTTGTTCTTCTCGAGTTTAGAGTGAGAACATATACGTGGAGTTCATCGTAGATTTAGCAGCCAGTTGTGATTACCATTAATGCAGTCTCATGATAGAGTAGTCGATCGAAACAGATGAGAGGTCTTCTTCTCCTTCGTCATGCCTCGTGAACAAAGACATCTGATGGATATGGATGTTAGATGTTGACAACATCCATCACACAAGAAAAAGACAGGCTTTGACTCATAATTGAAGCGAATCCATCCCAACACAATGCTTCGTGGTGATTAGATCGGCTGCAGCGTAATGTGAATCTGCTTGTGCAATGCGACTGATGTCTTCTCATACCGAATTAGGCAGCTCACCATCAATCAACCAAATTTGGGTGCTCATCAGGCCGATCCTTTATGAAGCCAACCAACCATCATCAATACGCCTCGGGAAGCAATCGAGGCTGGAATTCGATCTCCGAAAGGCTGTCAGAGCAAGTGCCTGACACTCACTGTCCAAAGTCCAACTGCATTTACGAGGGCGAAGGATATGGGCGCCGGTGATGGAAGTAAATGAAGAGAGGGAGAGGAGCTTCGGCACTCCTTCCTCCATGTTCGGCAATAAAACTTGGGTGGTGTCCTCCGCATGACATGATTCGATCTGGATGCATGGGACGAGCCATCGCTGCCATCACTGCACCACGGAAGCACATCCAACTCGCAGAGAGAGAAATGATGGGGGAGAAGAACGACAGACCCGAAGCGAGCCCTCCAGGTGTTTAGCACCGATCTCCGAACAGTTCTTGAGCAACCCCCCTCCCCCCCTCCTCAGCCGCCTCCCTGTGCGGCACCAACACCATCTGACCCCTCAAACATGATCAAAATCAAACCTTGATCACAACAACGAACCCTACGAAGGGGCTTCTGGCACTAACGAGAGCGTACCGATCGTGAGGAGCAGGGCAAGCGGCCGAGGCGCCGCCGTCGGTGGGAGCCAGCGTCACTCCCGCTCACCGGGAAATGGTAAATGGGCGTATAGTATTTGGGCCACCCACCAGTGTACTATTTGGGCCGATATGAATGGGCTCTATTTGGGCCATTTCAAACCCAACAAGTCGAACACGAAGTGATTCGTGTTTAGGAATGTATTATAGCGAGCGAGTAAAATTGACTTGAAATCGGCACATTTAAGTAGAAGCCACGTCAGAGACGAATGAGCATAATGGTTCGTGACGTCATTACGCGGACCAGATTTGGTAGTTTCGTGGGCGCGTGTACGTTGGTCGGACAGTCGCAGCAGCACAAAGTCCCGCCGGCCCATCGCCCGCCACGGACCGCCTCCTCGCGCGCTGTACCGCCGTCGCCGGCGCTTCCCCTCCCCCGTGCGCTGCCGCTCGCCGGTACGCCTTGCTTCCCCCCGGCGTC